TTAATCAGAAAATACTATCTCATTCAGCTTTCATAAGTTAATTTTCTAACTAGTAATACTTAAACAAAGGTCATTTCACTCTTTTGGAATTTCTAGACTTGACTCTAGCTTGAGGGACAGCCACCATATACTGTCACCAGTGCGGCTCAGGGAGGGTGACTGGGGAAGCAGCTTCACACAGCACCTTTGTAGGAAGGGAAAGGAGCTGTGTGGGAATCCGCACGCTGGGCATCTGCGGAGGTCTCTTTTGCAGGGCAGGACTTGGGGGCATCTTAACGAGGGCAAGGCAGTTGTTTCTGTAGCTTCAGCTCTGACTTTTTCCTCCCCATGTAGAGGCTGTTTGTGCTGCCACATCCTCCGAACTATGGCAGTCACTGAGCAGAGAGGCAGTGCGCCATGTTAGTCTGCTGTCGGTCAGAAGGGAGGGTAGAGAGGCACCTGAGCCCAACGGAGCAGCTACCGAGTCCTGGGAAGAAGATTCCCAGCCTCAGCCTTCCTTAAATCTCTAGCATCAAGCCAGGTGACATGCCAGGAAGGCCCAGGTAGATAACCAGGTGTAAGCTCTTAGCGGCGGCTCCAGAACAATAGTTCCCGTGTGCGAGACCTGGAGCTCAGTTTTGATCAGCATGCATTGCCTTCTGGAGGACGTTGCGTTCGCATGTGCCTGCTGCGATAACAAGTGTGGTTTTATCTCATTTTGTTTCTTTAGAAACCAAAACTCATCTTAACCATTGCAAAGGTTTTAGCCTCCTGTCCCTCCTTGCCCTCCCTCACAAATCCCCTACTCAGACCTCATCCAAAAGGCGTAGACAGCTCAAACCCGAAATGCCACAGAGTCCCTTAGGACGAAGGTTCGAGGGGCCGTCGAGTCAGGATCCGGACTGTGCGCTACAGACCCCCGACCTGGATCTCGCACAAGGTATTCTGGAGAGGAGAGGCTTGCCCTCTCCAGCCAGGCTTGCCTGATAGGGACGATGCCCTTCTCCGGAGCAAATCTGTTTGCCACCGTCTTTCACCGGGGCACTTGCACCCTTTGGGCGTGGGTTTAACAAATACTCGTTTTCTACTTTGCTTGAAAGATTAACTGTCCTGTCACTAACAGCTGGCGAGAGCATGAGCTCTTCTAGGCAGAGCTTTGGGGGCCCCTGCTCTGATCTGCAGCCCTCACCAGTCCCTTCCCAGCATGTAAGAGTTAATCCTGGCTGTTCTGCATAGAGACTCTGAAAATAACCACAGGAATGGGAAGTTGGGACCTAAACCATAAATGCTGATTCCTGGTCCAGAAACCTGAGGAGGGAGCTGTTAGGTTAGAAGCCCTGCACCAAAAACTGTTGTGGGTAGGTTCTGTATCGTGCATGGGAAGCAGGAATAATTGGCGGGGGTGGGGAGCGCTGCTATGTCTATAGCAGCTGATGCTGTGCTAGGAGCACGTATGCAGCAACGTCATGACCCAGAACAGTCTGCCGTGACAGGCCTGTTGGGAAGGTATGCACATCCCTGCCCTGGGGATGTTGAGTGCCAGCCAGAATTTATCTTTGAAGATTTTTGTTCCAGAGACGATGTGTTGCCATCACTGGAACTAAAGGGCTTTCTTGGAAATCCAGAATGCAGGAGAAAGGCGCTAAAGAAACGCAGGTTTTGCAAAGCCTGTCAGAGTCCCAGCTTGCACCTCGCATGCAAACATGAGCCCTCCTAGTACTCCTCTGATCTGAGCATCTCTTCCTATGGCTGCTTGTTCCCCATGAAGCATGGGGGATGTTTGAAACTCTCAGCTTCCGGGGAAGCAGCCCTCTTGCTTTTGGCACTGAAAGCTTTGGGCTGGAACATGCGTCTTCTCACTGGCTTGAATAGATGAATGCGCGGTCATTTAAAATGGAGCTTGGTGCAGCATCAAAGTGTGGCCACAGCCTGGGATGGTAAGTGAGAAAGGGACTGGCTGTGGGTCCTGTGCGGGCAGTTGGCACTGCTGAATCTGGTCTGTGGACAGGATGCAAGAAGCATTGGGGACAGAGAATCGGGAGGGTGTGGGGGAGCATTGGCCTGTGCTGCCATGGAAAAGCAGGAGAGATGTTGGTGGAGCTGAAGGATCCAGTGGGCATTTGGGTCTTGGTGAGGATCTGAAAGCTATTTGCCCAGTGAACACAAGGGTATGGGGCCACCTGTCTATCCACTGCACTCCCGGGGTGTGTTGCCTGAAGCCAGACGTGACTGTGGATGAAAACACCCGTGGGCTTTTCTGCTGGGCTCGAAATTACCCAGTAATGACCAGCTTTCTCTGCAGCACCTCGTCCCTCCGAGGTAGATGCCAATGGAGCCTGGAGACTCATTGTCCATGGCTTCGCCCCTTGCACGCCCACCTCACCTCACCTCACCCCAGAAGGTTGTTGGATCCCCTGTTCTGAGAGCTGCAGACTTCAGGAGCCCTTTACGGGGTCCAAGGGTCACGGTTGGGGCCCCTCCCAGCGGAGGCTGAGCCAGTGGTCGCCGCAGCACAGGAGATGCTGCCAGCCAGCAGCCTGAAAGCTGATGGTGATTAAGGCTTTGAGGTGTTTCTCAGAGCGCAGGCTCCATTCCCTGTCCTGCAGCTTTCCACAGCAACGAGCATGTGGCTCGTCGACTTGCGAGACTTGTTGGTAGCTGGGTTCCTGCGGGTTTGTTCCCGAGTGAAAGGTGCAAACGGCAGGGAGGCAGCGTGGCCTGGGTGTGCCCTGCAGCGGGTAGATGCGCGTGCTGCCGTCCCCCTGCAGTGAGGCTGGGCAGAGGCTCCTAGTTGTTCACAGCTGCTTGTAGTTGGAGGTGTATTTGGTCTGTTGTGTGGCACATTTTTCCCAATAAACCGGATGCACTTGCTGTCCATGGGCACCTAGCCAGCTCATCCCCAGCCCTAATGACCTGGACCTGGCACTTACCCTGACTACTGCAGCCCCACAACAGCTATGCAGGCATGATCAGTCCAGCACTATGTGAGTGGGGGGACCTCCACACAGGGCACCCACTGGCTGCCATCCAGGGAAGCATCCACAATGTGCGTATGCCCCATCTTGTTATTTTTATGGTGGGCACCAGGGTGTGAGGTCTAGTACTCCTCTAGTTCCCCTTGAGCGTGGCTTAAGAGCCCAGTCAGACCTGCCCTCCAGTGCCTTGCCACTTGATTCCCAGCAGGCAGGCTCATGCTCTGTGGCTCGTGTTCCTTGGCTAACTCACTAATCCTTCAAGCCCTCATCCCATTTTGCTCCACCAAGCCAATGAAATCGGCCAGAAAAATTTCCTGGCGTGAGAAGCCAGTGACTCGAGATGAATGTTAGGTGCTGTGCTCTTACCACCTGCTCTTTATTTTTTAACGAGACTTTTCTTTTACTAGTTGCTGCCAAGTGGTGGGGAACAAAAAGAATAGACTATGCTCTGTACTGTCCTGACGCTCTGACAGCCTTTCCGACTGTCGCCTTACCCCACCTCTTCCATGCCAGCTACTGGGAATCCACAGATGTCGTCTCCTTCCTGCTGAGACAGGTACCATAAATATTTCATGCTTTCTTCCTCTTCTCCCTGGTGCCTAATTTCCGTTGGAAAAATATTTTGGAGTCTCTTTTCCCCTTGCTGCACCCTCCATAACTCTTGTTGACACTAATGGAGGCACAGTGTATAATCGGCAGTGAAAATACATCCTTCGCAGCTGCAGATCCATCTTCTTTCCTTCTCCTCACTGTGCTCAGTACAGCTGCATTTGAATGCAAGGTGCACAGCAGCTAATTCTGGTCACAGAAACCCCTAGGGCAACATTGCTCTGTTTGCCTCAGTACAGAGTCAGGAGTGCAGTGTAGCTGCCCGCTGGCACTGACTTCCTCCCAGTAGCACAGCAGAGTGGAGGCCTTGGGGGTCCACTTCTCTCCCTGCCCCTTGCAGAGACATCCAGGTTCCTTACCTGAGTAGCCTCTCAAGGTGGCTCTTCTGCCTTCCAGCAAGGACTCAAGAGGACCAGTCACCCTGGGCAAAGAGCTTGCTTTCCCCGTTCTGCTGGGCAGGTGAAGTCAGGACACAGGACTGGCTCAGCTGAGCTAGAGTCCATTGGGTTCCCTCTGCCCTGCCTCTTTGTACTCTGAGTGACGGGCAGGGCTGGCACGTTCTGGTGGTTTCAGCCAGCTTGGCACGAGCTGTGTTACTTGCTGCCAGAGTAAACTCCAGAGGCTTCCTGCACTTGAAGGCAATCAAAGGATGAGCTAATTCCTGGGCCAGGATTACGCACCGACTCCTGTTCCGTGTTCAAGCCTGCTCAAAGGAGTTGCCAACCACCCTCTGCTCTCACTGACCTCAGCGGAGGCTGCAGGGGCCCAGCACCTGGCAAGGTCTAGCTCTGGATCTGTTGGGCCCAGCTGTCTGTCACCCCAGCCCTCTTACAGCACACACCACTGCAGCTCTCAGTTATTTATGGCCGTCTGTTGGCAAACTCCCTCCTGGTGCTGTCATTGGCCAGAGCTGTAAGCTGCAGGGATATCAGGGCTGGAGTCTGCAGTGCCTTCGGATGAATTGCTTTCTCCACTCATCCCTGACCCCTTGCTCTTTCCCAGCCTGGCAGTCTGCACTTTACCCCCATACCATTTCACACCTACCCTTGCCCAGCACTGACTTGTGACCTCCATTTAAGATTCCCTTTTAAACCTTCATTCACCTGGAGACAACTCAGCTCTGTCAGCAAGCTTTGCTGACTCAAAAAGAGGTTACTCACGTCATATGGTTACTGTCTAAGCTAGGGATCCACAACTGACAGCCCGTGGGCTGGATCCCGCCTGCAAAGAGTTTGGATTCATCCCACAGTAGATGTGGAGGGACTGTGGTGCTTGGCCGGGGGGGCATTGGAGCATTCCCTGGCCACCTTCCACCTTCCTCTCCCTTCCCTGCTCTTCCTCCACTTACCATTGCCACTGAATTCACTCCACTGTGCAGCCATCAGCCATGTGAATCTGTGGCATTTCCTGGCAATGGTAACTGGACACTTCATGGGGTACATGCATGTGAGAGAGATCAAGGAGAGCAGGCAGTTAGCAACCTGTGGCAGCAGCCACGTTGCCAGTGCCAGCCCATCATCCGTAAAGATTGCTGCTGCCTAGTTTAAGCTAACAATGCTGAACTTGCCTGCAGCAGGTCTGTCAAGTCTCCTGCCCTGTAAATACCGTGATGGTGACAAACCACTGTGTAAACATCAGAGAAAAACAGTGCAGTCTGCAGGGTAGGTTGACTCTGAAATACTTGCACGTCTTGGATTTGTGCCCAGGCGAGTTGCCAATGATGGAGCTGTGCTTTCTGCAGGTGATGAGACACGAGAACTCGAGCATCTTGGAGCTGGATGGAAAGGAGGTCTCGGTGTTCACGCCATCAAAGCCCAGGGAGAAGTGGCTGCGCAAGAGGACACACGTGAAACTCCGGGTAATGGTGCTCCCATTGCACTGTCCTGCAGAGGAACTGTCATTAAACATAACTGTATCGCATCTTGGCCTTTAATAAGAACAGTATTACATCTAACCAATGTAGGCACAAATCAATTACTGCCTATGCACTACACAGTGATACAGGGATGGAGAGACTTGGATTGCTGTAATTGCATGCAACAGCAGTGGTGCATTTTGGGAGAGACAGATACCCTAAGGATCTGGAAGAACAAGGTCTCCACTTTAAAGAGTGTCCATAGAAAACACTAAAGAGGTTGACTTTCGGTCAAGAGAAGGAGACCAATGCATGTAAAAGCCCAGGTTCCTAAATTGTTTGTACAGTAAATGCCCCTTTCTGGAGCTCCTGAGTCCAGAGGGATAAGAAGCTTTTCTGATTTCTGCAAGAGAGCAGGTCTTTTAGCCAGTAATAAAACAATGACAACAGATGTCTACTGATGGTCATTCCTTTTGCCTTCTCATTCTAAAATGTCATGTAGGGAATTTTGAACCAAGCTGGAGAGATCAGATTTTCAAGGTGTTCTGCCTAACAGGTTCTGCCACCAAAAGGGCTAGGATAGTAACACTAGAGAAAAAAATAGTGTCTGTGCGCGTGCACGTGCGTGTGTGCATGCATGTGTGCTCGCGCATCTGCATGCATTGAGGCTAAAATTTCAAAGGACTGCCTTTTTTTGCAGACGGCCAAAGCCAAGTATAGATCCCTTTACAAACATGTACAATAGAAAGTCCTTGCAGGTGCAAATTCTACTGTACAGATGGCCAAGTCCACAGGTCAGCTCCTTGGCCACATGTGTTAGCTTTGCATGCACAACTGATTGTAGATGCATACCTGGTGGGCGAAAATTCTTTTGTCCAAAAAGAAAAACTAGGGGCAAACAGCCTTCACGAGTCTGTTTGTATAAGCACAACAGTACTCTTTCTTCATGCCATTATGAATGAATTTGGAAAGGTATTTAGGGGGCCTGACATGTATACCTGTGTGTGCATGTGTGTGTGTTCATGTAAACTCTGTATAAATGAAGTATGTGATGGGGGGAATCTTTAGGAGAACCTGACTCCTAAAAACCCCTTGTCTGCGTATTTGGCACTACTCTGATTACAGCATCGTTTACTGGAAATTCATTATCTGGGAGGATCTTCTGGAACTTTGACTAATTGAGTTTTCTTTTGCTCTTCCTGCAGAATGTCACAGCCAACCACAGAATAAATGATGCCATTGTCAACGAAGATGGGCCCCAGACCTTGACAGGAAGGTTCATGTATGGCCCTCTGGATATGGTCACGCTCACTGGGGAAAAGGTACCGTGGTCTTAAAAGTGCATTGCCCACAAAGGCAGCTACAGTTTGTAGCCAGAGGAGGGACGGTCCTTGATGGTGACACTTCTTTTGCCTGAGAGCTACCCATGCACCTCCACAGTTGAGGTTCTCTGGCTCTGTCATGCTTTTTTGTACCTGTGATGTCCTGCATCATACTAGAGAAGGACTTTAGGAGGCCATGTTTAGAGCCAGGCAAGGTTTCTTTCTAGCCTCAAAGCTTTTGGCTGTCCAGAACCCCAGAAACTGGACCCCTTTAAATCTGCAGGACTGGAGCAGACAGACAAAGAACCCAGACCCATTGCCCTTAATTGCAAAGAAGCTTGGATTCAAGGTCCCAGTTGGCCATTTCTACGCTATCTGTGTTTAGACTTCATAATTAGTTCTGGGCTTTGTTTTCCGCCCCCCCAGGTGGACATTCATATCATGACCCAGCCACCGTCCGGAGAGTGGATTTATTTTGACACCGAAATCAGCAACAGCAGCGGCAGGATTTCTTACGTTATCCCTGAGAGCAAGCGTTTGGGGATTGGCGTATATCCCATCAAGATGGTGGTCAGGTATGGAGAGAAGCATTGCAAACGTGGAAGCAGAACCCCATTTTCCTGTGTTCAGTTCAATGCCTCAGCCACAACATCCTTCCCTGTTTGGGCGCGTCCCTGAGTTTTGGGCACCTCTTGGGCTGAGGTACAGACATCATGTGCCAGACCCTCCGCTGGCATGACTATGCGTGGCTCTGACATCAGTGGGATTACACTGATTCACATGGGCTGAGGAGCCAGTCCTGAGAGGGCAGGTAGATCACAACTGGAGGCTCAGGCTCATCATTGATCATGACTCTTATGCATGAAGCTCCCATTCTCTTTTGCAGGCACACTGGGTGCGTGATGTGGCAGGATCCGGCCCTCCCTTCTGATTGTTGATGGGTGTACACCTCCTGTGTGGTGCTGGGAAAGCCGCCTGATTGTTCTTGTGTCTTTGTCAGGTTTCTCTGAGGTTCTCAAACACCTGTTCTTTCCCTTCCAGGGGGGACCACACATTTGCAGACAGCTATATCACAGTTCTCCCCAGGGGGACGGAGTTTGTGGTCTTCAGCATCGACGGCTCCTTTGCAGCCAGCGTGTCAATAATGGGCAGCGACCCTAAAGTCCGAGCGGGGGCAGTTGACGTAGTAAGGTCAGTGGCAGAGCGAGGGGTGAGGAGACGTTCTGAACCCTAGAGTCACTACTGGTCCGTTACACACTGTTGTTTTTTCCCTACTAGGCACTGGCAAGACCTTGGCTACCTCATTATCTACGTCACAGGGCGACCTGACATGCAGAAGCAAAGGGTGGTGGCGTGGTTAGCACAGCACAATTTCCCCCACGGGATAGTCTCGTTCTGCGATGGGCTCGTCCATGACCCGCTGCGGCACAAAGCCAACTTCCTGAAATCCCTCATTACGGACGTAAGTGTGGGCTGTGCTGAGACGATCAAAGGGAAGGGGTGAATCACAGATAATCCATTTGCCCCTGCTTAGTCCTGCTGTTTTGGCAGAGGCCGACCCTGAAGTGGGAGATGAATCAGCTTTTATTTTACATCTTGCTGGGTTTTTTTCTCCTTGTTCCACAAAAGTGTCCGTGCATTTAGCGTGTTGTCTCTATTCTGCACGGTCCTGTTGCTGTCATTGCTACCTGCAGTGCTAAGTGCCTATTGAAATGGAGGGAATGATGGTGGCTAAACTGCTCCTCCCTTACGTTTAATCCCCTGCTTAATGGATTTCTGGAGGCTTGTCCTATTAGCGGTGGATCTGGGATGCATTATGTATGGAGGGTTGGTAAGAAGATTATGACCCTG